GCCTCCCTCTCTGTTTCTATCTTATTTTTCCTTCTTTCCCCTAGCTCATCTGTTTTGTTTCTTAAACTGTACATCTGAGCAAAATCACGTGGTATTTGCCTTTCTCTGACTTATTTCACTTAGCATAATACTCTCTAGTTCCATCGACATTGTTGCAAATGACAAGATTTCATTCGTTTTGAATGAAACGATGGCTGAGTAATATTCCATCATACATGTGTGTCACACATGTATCCATCAGTTGATGGACATTTAGGTTCTTTACATAATTTGGCTATTGTTGACAGTGCTGCTATAAACATGGGTGCATATGCCCCTCTGAACCAGTATTTTTGTATTCTTTGGATAAATACTTAGTAGTGCAATTGTTGGGTCATGGAGTAATTCTAGTTTTAACTTTCTGAGAAACCCCCACCCCATGAGCTTTCCAGAGAATACATACAAATGGCTAACAGACACATGAAAAAATGCTCAACATCACTCATCATCAGGAAAATACAAATAAAAACCAAAATAATATACCGCCTTCCACCTGTCAGAATGGTTCAAATTAACAACACAGGCAACAACAAATGTGAGCAAAGATGCAGCGAAAGGATAACCCTCTCACACTGTTGGTGGGAATGAATGGAGTATCTTTTTTCCATCCTTTACTTTCAACTTCATTCTGTCTCTATCAAAAAATGAGTCTCTTATAGACATGATAGGTACAGTTATCTTCTTATCCATTCTGCCAATCTTTGTCTTTTATAGTATAATCTAACTTTTTTTTAAGTAGACTCCACACCCAATGTGGGGCTTGAACTCATGACTATGAGATCAAGAGTTGCATGCTTAGGGGCACCAGGGTGGCTCAGTTGGTTAAGCAGCTGACTTCGGCTCAGGCCACGATCTCACAGTTCATGAGTTCAACCCCTGCATTGGGCTTGCTGCTTTCAGCACATAGCCTGCTTCAGATCCTCTGTTGCTCTCTGTCCCTTCCCTGCTCGCACTCTCTATCTCTCAAAAATAAATGAACATTTATTTGGGTTGCATGGGTGGCTTAGTCAGTTAGGCATCTGACTCTTGGCTTCAGCTCAGATCTTGATCTCACAGTTCATGAATTTAAGCCCCACATTAGGCTTTGAGCTGGTGGTGTGGAGTCTACTTGGGATTCTCTCTCTTGCTCCCTCTCTCTGTCCCTCCCTTGCTTGCACTGTGTCTGTGTCTCTCAGAATAAATAAACTTAAAAAAAAAAAAGAACGTTAAAAAAAAAAATCGAAGAACTGCTTGCTTAGAGCAGCTGGCTGGCTCAGTCGGAAGAGCATATGACTCTTGATCTTGAGGTTATGAATTCAAGCCCCACATTTGGTGTAGAGATTACTTAACATCTTTAAAAAAAAAAGTCACATGCCCTACTGACTGAGCCTGCCAGGTGCTCCAATTAATCTATTTAACTTAAAGTAACTACTGATAGGGGCGCCTGGATGGCTCCGTGGGTGAAGTGTCTGACTCTTGGTTTCAGATTAGTTCATGATCTCACAGTTTGTGTGTTCAAGCGCATCAGGTTCTGAGCTGGTGGTGGGACTCTTTCTCTCCCCGCTGCTCTCTGTCCCTCCCATGCTCTCTCTCTCTCAAAATAAAATAAACTTTAAAAATTAAAAAAAAAAAAATAAAGTAACTACTGGCAAGGAAGGATTTACTTCTGCCACTTAGAAACAATTTGCTTACTGTAGGTCTTAAATGTTTTTTGTTCCTCAATTCCTCCATTACCACATTTTTTGTATTTAATAGATTTTATGCAGTATACCATTTGATTCTCTTCCCATTACTTTCCTACACATATTCAGTTATTTTCTTAATGGTTACCATGGAGACTACAATTAACATCATAAACTTATAATAGCATAATCTGAACAATACCAACATAGTGTCAACAGTATACATGATGGTGCTATGTCTCTACTCCTTCTACTTACAGTATTATCATAGATTACATTTTTACACATTACGTGCCCATGAACATAGATTTATAATCTTCATTCTATACATTTGCTTTTCTTCAATCACATAGGAAAAAATGAGGAATTACAAACCAAAAGTGAAGTAAAACTATCTTTTATATTTACCTATATAGCTATCATGCTCTTTTTAGCATTTTGTGTAAAGTAGATTTACTAATGATGAATTCCTTTTTTTTTTTTTGAAGATTTTTTTTTTTAAGTAATATCTAATACCCAATTCAGGGCCCAAATCTACAGCCCCAAGATTAAGAGTCACATACTCCACTGACTGAGCCAACCAGGTGCCCCTTCCCTCACTTTTTGTTTACCTGAGAATATCTTAATGTTGACTTCATACTTAAAGAATAGTTTTGTCAAATATCAAATTGTTTGACATTTTCTCTCTCAGAACTTACATCAGCACACTGCTTTCTGGTTCCAAGGTTTTGCATGAAAAATCAATTGTTAATCTTTTTAAAGATCCCTTGTATGCTAAGAGACACTACTCTTGTTGCTGCTTTCAAGATTCTCTATTTGTCTGTGGCTTTTGACAATCATACTATCATGTGTCTCATTGTAGGCTTCTTTGAAATTAATCTGCCTGGAGTTCACTGAGTTTCTTGGATATACAGATTCATGTCTTTCACATCAAATTTGGTACGTTTTAGTAATTATTTCTCCAAATATTCTTTCTCTTTCTCTCTCCCTTCTCCTTTTGGGACAATCATAATGCAAATGTTGTTCTCCTTAGTGATATCCCACAGGCCCTTCAGACTCTATTCACTTTTCCTCATTCTTTTTTTCTTTTTCTTCTCAGACACAGTAATTCACTTTGTTTCATCTCCAGGTTCACTCATTCTTTCCTGCCTACCCTTATCTGATGCTGCATCCCTCTAGAAAATATTTTAGTATCAGTTATTGTATTTTTTAGCTCCAGAATTACAATTTAGTTCCTTTTGATAATTTCTAGATCTTTATTACTATCTCAATTTTTCGATACATCATTTTCTAGAATTCTTTTAGTTTCTAAAACTTTTAGTTGTTTGTCCATACTTTCCACTAGCTCTTTGAGCATGTTTCCAAAAATTGATTTAAAATATTTGCCTATGGGGCACCTGGGTGGCTCAGTTGGTTAAGCTTCTGATTCATGATCTCTCAGGTCATGATCTCTCATGGTTGTGAGATCCATTTGTGAGATCCTTTGCCAGGCTCTGGGCTGAGAATGGAACCTGCTTAAGATTCTCTCTCTCCTTCTGCCCTTTTCCCCCACTCCCGTGCACTCTCTCTCTTTCTAAAAATTAAAAATATATGTATTTAAAAAAGAGCCATGAAAATCTGAAGCAAACATCTAATCATAAATTTATAGGTTCCAAGATATCTTACATTCTAGAGAAGTTGTAGAGGTTAGATAAATTCATGGTACTTGATTGGCATATTAACTCTTGTTCCTTAAAGGACTTTTTATTTTCCCTCTATTTCAATCATAGTTATGATCTTATTCTTACCACAAACACCCTTAACAGTCTGCTCAACTATTCATATTATATCATGTTTAAAAATACAACAGATTTAGCCAACTTTATAAATACACAGACCTCTATAAATGTCTCATTATAAAGTATAATTTGCCAACAGATTTCTATCACAAAAAAAATCATGCCCTGTCAACAAAATTTATAATTTCCCGTTAAAGATTAATTTGTTCTAATACATATAAGAACTTCATTCCACTAGTGGGTGATCGTATATATAGCAGAAATGATCAGGACAGATACTAAAACAAATAACGGTGTTATTGCACAATTTGCCTTTGCAGACAGAACAGTCTCCCTTATACATTTTAGCATTTTTAATACATAAATTAGATTGACACACCCAGTACTGCTTAAGACAGAATCTCCCCAAATTCCTTCTAATACTGAGCTTTCAATTAATTCATATGTAATGTTTAAATTTAGCAATCTTCTTCTAAGTTCATTTCAGATCAGATTTAAATCTAGAACTTTGCCAATATTCTGCTTTTACTGGGAAGTGTCAGGACTACACCCCACTTCTAAATTTAAACTTTAATCCTGACAAGTTCTTGAATGAAATTATTAATTAGCTCTTTCTTTCAAAAATGTTTGTCAAGAAAACCGTAGCTGGAGTGGGAAACGTGCAGGGCCTCTGCCCTCACAGAGCAGGCCCCCTTATTCAAAGTCTTTTGGAGTGGGAAAGTCAAAAGATGGAAGAGATTTTGGAGAATCTAAGCTTTAAACCCCAGTTCCACCACTTGCTAAACATTAGGCAAGTTAATTAATCTTTCTAACCTTTAATTTCTCCCTTTACAAAATGAGTTTAATACGAACTATTTCACAAAGTTATTTCAAGGGTTACATGTTAAAATACAGTAAGTACCTAGTACAAAACTGGGAACATTACTAAATATTCACAATATTCACAAATCTAGAGCCTGGCACATAGAATCCATTCAATACTCATGAATGAATAATCCACTCTGAGACAAAAAAATTTTAAATGGCATTTCCAAAGGAAGTGTGTCAAAGATAAAATATAGTATTTCAATCCAATTATTGTTCCAAATATGGGTAATGAGCAGCTTTTACTTCATTCTACACTCCTTAATTTGGACTTTCATTTATGCTTTAAAATATGTATTTTAAAGCACATAGGCATATCATCTAGTAATGTAAAAGGGGAATTAAAAGTCAATTTTTAAAACCTCATACCAACCCAAAATGCATACTATTGGAACCTAAAGCCAAATTTGGTATAAAATTTAACTAACAAAAAAATAAATAAAATGGCTTGTCCCGGAAGTTCAGGCACTCACTACAAAACACACCAAAGTTATTTATCAATTTTACTGAACCAACCACTCATGGGTACAAAAAACAAGATGGCTTATTTTAGTCTCTGAGCATTATTTTTAACATATAATAATGTGTTAAAGTGTAGCTTCAAGCAAACATTTTGAGTTAATCAGAGTAAAACCATTTTATAGATGCTAATATTTACCTGTTTGAGTCCTTCATCAGTAAGTTTGTCCTGGTTGCCTACATGAACTTTCTGAAGTAAAGGACAATGAGAGGCAACCGCAATAATAGAAGTGTCAGAAAGCTGTTTACACCTGTAGGCTGTATACCTAAGAAGTCCAGGACACTTAAATGCTAGAACACATACGCCTGTATCAGACATACTGCGACAATCAGAAATGTTGATTTCAATTATATTCTGACTTCTTGATGCAATTTTTTCCAATAATTCATCAGTGACCTAGGAGGAAAAAAAAGGAATAAGTTTAAACTTTTGCTAAAAGTAGAAACGTACTTTCTATTCTTTTATTAAGTTTTCCCCCAATAAATAAGTAATAATTAGATTACAGCATGAAAACCACAATCAAAAGAAAACCTTCTTATTGAATATTAAAGCATAACAAGAACTGTGGTATAGTATAAAATGCATACTTAGTCTTTGTTTCTAATTCCTAGAACAGAGCCTCCACAACTCTTGGAATTTCCTGATTGATAGGAGTGTCCTTTGTTATTCATAACAAGCCCCTTTTGACCACACTTGAGTTTATACTAATGAAATGACTTAAACGGGGGCCCCTAGATGATATCTTTACGATGAGGTCTGGTCACCAGAAAAACCATGTGATTAGAAAGTGGTAACTGTCAGCCTCAACCCCTGACTTCCTGGGAGGGTACAGGAGCTAGAGACTAGGTTAGAAAAACTTTTCAACAATGAAAACTGAAGAGCTTCTAGGTTGGCGAACACCTTAAGGAGCCAGGGGGGTGACAGGCCCACAGACTCTATGGAAGCTCCACATCTTCTCCACCCCCGTAATTTGTCCTAGGCATCTTTTCCATTTGGCCAGTCCTGAGTTGTATCCTTTACAATAAACCAGAAAAAGTATTTTCCTGAGTTCTGTAAGTCATTTTAGCAAATTATCAAACCTGAGGAAAGACTAGAGGGAACTGTTGAAGTCACAGCTGGTCAGTGAGAACTACTGGTGACTCCTGGGACTCGTGAGGGGTGTATGAAGAGGGGACAGTCTTATAGGACTAAAGCCCATAATCGGTGAGGTCTGCATTAACCCCAGGAGTTGGTGTCAGAATTGCACTGAATTGTTAGATACCCAGTTGTTATCAGAGAATTTTTTAGAATGAAAAAAACTCGACACATCTCGTGTCAGAAGTGGTATGGAAAAACACCAAGCAAAAATATATGTGTTAATTTTCGTTGAAAGCCTAAGATCTATCCTTATCAGGAAAGTTACTTTAACTTTCAAAGTTAAACTTTGAAGAAGTTTGAATACACAAAATTATACTGAAATTTTAATTGCTTTGTTTTCTATTTTTAACCCAGCAAACAGTGTGTATCAGTCATCACATTATATGAATTGTAACTTATTATACCTAGTATTAGATGGTCCCTACCACAAAATATAAATTTTAATTGTTTTACTACTTTTTTATTTAAAATTTATTTTTATTTTTTTAATATACATTTATTTTTGAAAGAGAGAGAAAGAGACACACAGAGTACAAGTGGGGAAAGGGCAGAGAGAGAGGAAGACAGACTCTGAAACAGGCTCCAGGCTCTGAGCTGTTATCATAGGGACCGATGTGGGACTCGAACTTGGGAATGGCGAGATCATGACCTGAGCTGAAGTCACCACTTAACCAACTGAGACACCCAGGTGCCCCTTTAAAAAAAAAAAAAATTAACGTTTATTTATTTTTGAGACACGAGAGACATAGCATGAGTGAGGGAGGGGCAGAGAGAGAGGTAGACATAGAATCTGAAGAAGGCTCCAGGCTGTGAGTATCAGCACAGAGCCTAACACAGGGCTTGAACTCACAGATGTAGAATCATGACGTGAGCTGATGTAGGACACCAAGCCAAACAGGTGTCCCTTTACTACTTCTATCAGAATACTACCTCATATATATATATATAGAAAATACATCATTTTGTTTATGAACACATCCAAGATTACATACAAATGTCCATAACAAATACCTTTTATCAAAAAAACCCTCAAAGCTAGAGGTGCTTTAAGTGTCCAACTCAGCTCAGATCATAATCTCAGGGTTCATGGGTTCGGGCCCCACATCAGGCTCTGTGTTGACAGCTCAGACTGGAACCTGCTTCAGATTCTGTGTCTCCTTCTCTCTCTGCCCCTCCCCTGCTCGCACTCTGTCTCTCTCAAAAAAATAAATTACAAAATGTTAAACAAAATTTGTTTTAATTTATATAAAAAAAATACCTCAAAGCTAAGTATGAGTAACCTTAGAATTCATGTGGTAAAAAACTCACATGGCCATCTGAATTTTAAACATAATTTTTAAAAAATCAACCTGTACATATTCTATACCCAATCATGGAATAAGTCACAGGGATGAAAGGTACAGCATAGGGAGTATAGTGAATGGTGTGGTAATAGCCTTGTACAGTGAGAGATGGCAGCTACACTTGGGATGAGCACAGCATTACGTATAGAGTTGTCAAATCACTATGTTGTACACCTGTAAAAGTATACTTCAATAAAAAATAAGTAAACATAAATAAAAAAGAAAAAGAGGGTTAATATTATTCAAGTCCCTTGAGTACAAATAATGGTCAGAGAAGATGCACATGACGAAATTTAGAACAGAAGTAAAGAACTGCAGTGCTGAGGAGCACTAAAAGTAAGAGACAAGGCTGAAACTACCTTTATGCTCCCTGGAAAAAGCATAAATACAGACAGTTACCTTCAAAGTTAAAACCTGGACATAGCTCTCCTTTTATCTTTTCTTCTTTTTTCATCTCCAGACATAACTACCAATAGAATGGTAAAGCTATTCTTAGCCTGAGTTTGTAACAAACAGCTCAGATATCCAAGAGTACTAAAGAGCCAATGGATTATTTCACATTACTTCTTTCCACTCTACCAGCCACAATAACTAAATACTCACTATTCTCCCTGGACACAAATTTCATGGACCCAGGTAGGGAAATGACTAATTCTGTAATTATTTCAGCTTCTAACCAATGAGGCAGAAAAACAAAAAGAAAACTTACACATAAATGTCCAGGATTTGCTTATTTTGTTTAAAGTGAACGAGTGATACACACACACACACCCCCCACGTAAACTACTAGTGGTATGCTGCATGTAGTTGGCTTGTACCAACTCACAAGAGCCTGCAATGTGTACCTCTTTCCAAATCAAGGACATCACCGTGTTCAGTGATATTACATCCATAGCCTGAAACAGGCCATGGTGGGAGCATTTGCACCACAAAAACTAGCAAATATTACAAATCACAGCTTTCTATTTGTTTTTGAAAGGAGTTGTTAAACATGTGGCAGCACACCAGTACCTAATAGTATCATGGATTTAGAACAGGTTCAGTACTCCCATAATATCCTATTCTTATTGAATATTTTTATGCATTTCAATGCCAAGTTCTAACAATCAAGCCCAAAAGAAGTTCTAACAATCAAGTCCAAGTCCAAAAGAAAAAAATAAGTCCAACAAATTGTATGCAATAAGCACTATTAACTCTACCTTTTTTCCTAACTTATGCCACCATATGAACACATTGGGCAGCCAGGCAATAGGGAAGATTAGAAAATTAATCAAAAGGAAAATAAAAACAAGATATCTTAGCCCATTTTGCTTCTATTTATTCATCTGTAACAGTAGTGTGAGAATGCTTAAACTATTGAGGCACCTGGGTGGCTCAGTCAGTTAAGTGTCAGACTCTGTTTCAGCTCAGGTCATTATCTCACGGTTCATAGGATTGAGCCCCACATTGAGCTCTGCACTGACAGTGCAGAGCCTGCTTGGGATTCTCTCTCTTCCTCACTCTCTGCCCCTCCCCCGATCTCTCTCTCTCTCTCACACACACACACACTCTCTCACTCTCTCACTCAAAATAAACTAAAATTCTTTAACAAAAAAATTTAAAAAAAATACTTAGGGGCGCCTGGGTGGCTCAGTCGGTTGAGCGTCCAACTTCAGCTCAGGTCACGATCTCACGGTCCGTGAGTTCGAGCCCCGCTTCGGGCTGTGGGCTGATGGCCCAGAGCCTGGAGCATGCTTCCGATTCTGTGTCTCCCTCTCTCTCTGCCCCTCCCCCGTTCATGCTCTCTCTCTGTCTCAAAAATAAATAAACATTAAAAAAATTTTTTAAAAAAAAATACTTATACTATTCACCTATAACAACAGTCTAAAGATACTATAATTAATAGTATAATAATAACACATTAAAAGGGATAATAATAGTATCAACTCAAAACGTTGTTAGAAGATTCAAATGCTTTAGTATGTGTAAAGCCCAGAGAACAGTACATGGCATATCAGCAGTACTATATAAACATATGCCATCATGTTCTACTACTAAACTAAAATTCATGATATAATTCCTACAAAAAGGGGGGAAAGCTTAATAACTTTCTTTAAATGTAATGAAAAAAGGGAGAAGACAAAGAGGACTTAGACAAAAGGATTAAGAAGCAACCCAAAATTACCAATCCACATTAAATATCTTCTTCACCACAAGAACCTAGCTATAACATAAATTCACACAAAAAAATTACTGAAGCATGGAATTATAAGTTACAGTCATTCGAACTATCTTGAAAAACTCCAACATGAAAGAAATGATTTCTGAAGAGAAATAAAGATATTTGTTGAGTAGGCCAAGGTGTTTCTTAGAATTGGATTCCATACCTGCTGACGACTACTAAGATCCAGCTGCTTCCAAAACTGGAAATCTAAACAAAGGTCACGCCAGTACTTGCAAACCAACGAGGCAGAAAGGCAACGCTCATCCAGGGATAAATTGGAAAATATCTGTAAATAAAAAAGGAACCATATAATATGTGCTAAATACTTCAAAAGCACAGGAACAGTTTTTTGTTAATTAGAAAAAATTAACTTTTAAAACAGAAAACCATCTTGAATACAAGTGGCCATTATTAGAAAAGTCATCATTAGGGACAGCCCTAAAGAGGGTATGAGAGTTAAGAATGTGTGTTAACATTACCTTCTATGTAAAAAGAGTGGGTGTGAGAGCAGGGGGATTTCTCTCTAGAGAGAGAAAATGTGTGTTTGCCAGTATTAAAATTTTTACAATTAAGGTATGTATCAATAAATACAATGTGTGGACCATATTGGGATCCTGAACTGAACCAACTATAAGAAGGTTCTTCTGAGACAATCAGATAAAACTGAACACAAGATATTAGAAATCAGAAAATTATTATTCACTTTTTAGGCTTTGATTATATTGTAGTTATGTTCATACTGTGGTTACGTTTTATAAAAGTATTATGCATTTTAGATATATACTTCAGTGTTTATAAATAAAATGATATCTAGAATTTGCTTTCAGATACCTTATCAAAAACAAAAAAAAGTTAGTGAAAAATAAAACAAGATAGGCAGAATACTGAAAACTAATAAAACTGGTTGAAGATACATGGTGGAGGGCAGGTTCATTACAGTATTTTCTACTTTGGTTTGTATATGATAATTTCCATAACACATAAGTAAAAATTTTAACCAGAACATGTGCTCTAACACTAAATTGTCTTATGCTGGGTTTAAATTTTTTTTTTCAACGTTTTTTATTTATTTTTGGGACAGAGAAAAACAGAGCATGAACGGGGGAGGGGCGGAGAGAGAGGGAGACACAGCATCGGAAACAGGCTCCAGGCTCCGAGCCATCAGCCCAGAGCCTGACGCGGGGCTCGAACTCACGGACCGCGAGATCGTGACCTGGCTGAAGTTGGACGCTTAACCGACTGCACCACCCAGGCGCCCCATTATGCTGGGTTTAAATCATGACTCCACCATTTATTATCTATGCAACCTTGGACAAATTACTTACTCTCTCTGTACCTCAATTTATCTTTAAAATGGGGATAATAGGGATTGGGTGGCTGACCTCATCTCAGGTCATGATCTCACCATTCATGATTCTGAGCCCCACATTGGGCTCTCTGCTGTCAGCATGGAGCCCACTTCAGATCCTCTGTCCCCCTCTCTTCTGCCCCCTCTTCTGCTCTCATTCTCTCTCAAAAATAAACATTAAAAATAATTACAATGATAAATAAAATAAAATGGGGATAATATAGTATTGACCTGATAGAGTTATTGTGAGGACTAAAGGAGTTTAAAGTTTTGGAAACAGTATCTGGAACAGAGTAAATAGTATATAAATGATTCCTATCATTACTATGACCTAAAGTGGTAAGCCTCTGGGCAGGCAAAAGTTGTAGACACCTCAGCTAGAATCTCTACTATATTTAAATCTTAAGCCTGGGGAAAATAACTACCTTCTCTTCACAACTACCATTCTTTTTCCAAGGGTCTACTGAGAAATAAAAAATATGTGTAAGAATCACCAGCAAAGATGACGTTAAGCCCACTACAGTCTCTCACTCCCACTCATGACAACTAAAACCTATGGATAACATACTAAAAGCAATTAACTCAGGACTCCAAAAGGTTAGTAAATAGGGGCACCTGGCTGGCTCAGTCAGTAGAGCTCACAACTCTTGATCTTGGGGTTGTGAGTTTGAACCCTGCAGGAGGCACAGAGATTACTTAAAAATAAAATCTTTTTAAAAAGTTTTTAAACATTAAAAATAAATAAAAGGTTGGGTGCCTGGATGGCTCAGATGGTTAAGCATCTGACTTTTGATTTCAGCTGGGTCATGATATCACAGTTAGGGAGACTGGGCCCTGAATCCAACTCTGCACTGATATCACAGAGACTGCTTGGAATTCTCTCCCCCTCTCTCTGCCCCTCCCCCATGCTCTCTCAATAAACATTAAACTCAAACTCATGCTCTCAAAATAAACATTAAACAAATAAATAAATGTTAGTAACAGATGGATTGGGGAAGTGAGCCAAAACTTAAAGAATAGTCAGTAATAGGAATGAGTTTCCTGAGTTTTTTTGTTTTTTCTCCCATCATGGAATAGGATGGCCCCTGTGCAGAATTGTACATAAGACACAACTAAACTACAGAGACAAAACCATCTTTCTGGACAGAATGTGAGACAGAAAATGTGAGAACCTTCATTTTGGGTTTTCTTTCCTTTCCCTTTTCTTTTCTCTCTCTGTTGGCCATGTCCCAATACAGCCTAAGTCACAGAGCTGCAATGTGGCAGCTGTGTAGATACCTAAAACTCTGAAAGTAAAACCATTTTTCTGGCCAGTAGAACCAGCAAAGAGAACTGACCAAAGAGTGTGCAAGGAATCCTCACTACCTTTTTTGCCACAAGGCAATGGGATGACATATTTAAAGTGCTGAAAGAAAAACTGTTAAGCAAGAACTCTGTATATCTGGCAAAACTATTCTTCAAAAATAATGGAGAAATTAAAATATTCCCAGATGGGCACCTGGGTGGCTCAGCAACTGACTTCGGCTCAGGTCATGATCTGATAGTTCATGGGTTCGAGCCCTGCATCAGGCTCTGTGCTGACAGCTCAGAGCCTGGAGCCTGCTTCAGGTTTTGTGTCTCCCTCTGTCTCTGCCCCTTTCCTGCTCATTCTCTTGTCTCTCTCTGTCTCTCAAAAATAAATGTTTAAAAAAATATATTAAAAAAAATATTTCCAGATAAATAAAAACTGAGGGAGTATGTCACTAGTAAACCTGAGTGTAAGAAATGCTAGAGGGAGCTCTTCAGACTTAAATGAAAGAGCATAAGCCAGCAGCTTGAAATCACATGCAGAAATAAAAAACAACAGTGGGGCGCCTGGGTGGCTCAGTCGGTTGGGCGTCTGACTTCGGCTCAGGTCATGATCTCGCAGTCCTTGAGTTCGAGCCCCGCGTCAGGCTCTGTGCTGACAGCTCAGAGCCTGGAGCCTGTTTCAGATTCTGTGTCTCCCTCTCTCTCTGACCTTCCCCCATTCATGCTCTGTCTCTGTCTCAAAAATGAATAAACGTTAAAAAAAAAAAACAGTAAAGATAGGTGTTTATGTAGGTAAATATAAAATTTATAACTAATGTACTTTGGACTTGTACCCCTTTTATTTTGTACATGATTGAGAAGAAAACTACAAGGGCGTCTGGGTGGCTCAGTCGGGTAAGCATTCCACTTTGGCTCAGGTCACGATCTCCTGGTTCATGAGCTCGAGCCTCACTTCGGGATTCTCTCTCTCTCTGCCCCTCATGGGTAGTGTCTCTCTGTCTCTCTCTCTCTCTCTCTCTCTCTCTCTCTCTCTCTCCCCCTCTCTCTCTGCCCCTCACTCATACTCTCTCTCTCTCTCAAAAATAAAAAAATTAAAAATTAAAAATATAAAATAATAATTATAAATCTATGTTGCTGGGCACAAAACACATAAAAATATATGACAGGAAGTACATAAATATAGAAACAAAGTTTTTATATATCATTGAAACCATGGTATTTATATTTGTAGGTTAAGTGTCTAACTATAAGGTTTTTTTTTCAAATTTGTATTTAAATTCTATTCAGTTAACATACAGTGTAATATGGTTTCAGAAATAGAATTTAATGATTCATCACTTACATATAATACCCAGTGCTCAATACAAGAGCCCTCCTTAACGCCCATCACCCATTTAGTCCATCCCCCACCAAGTTCCATCAACCCTCAGTTTGTTCTCTATAGTTAAGTCTTTTATCATTTCTCTCTCTTCTCCCCCTTCTCATAAGTTCATGTTTTGTTTGTTAAATTCCACGAGTGAAATCCTATGATATTTGTCTTCCTTTGACTTATCTCACTTAGCATAATATACTCCAGCTCCATACATTGTTGCAAATGGCAAGATGTCATTCTTTTTGATGGCTCAGTAATAATCCATTGTGTATATTTATCCATTCATCAGTCAGTGGACATTTGGGCTCTTTCCATAGTTTGGTGACAGTAAGATTTTTTTATTGTAGTGGGTCTAACATTAAGCTTTTGATCGCCATTATATCCATTTCAAAAAACATTTATCTTGAATAAACATATTGCCAGCTGTATGACACAGCTACTAGAAAAACCACCACATAAGCAATGAGGCTGCCCCATCTGTGAAATTCTGTCAGAAAACCCCAGGTAACCTAAATAACTGACTACATGAGTGACCCTATTTTCTCCTTCCTCAGGCCCTAATTCCTGCCTGTCTGCTTTAAATTAGCCAATAGAGTGAATGAGCAAAACCCTAGACACTCCACAACTGGACCCTAATAAAGGCTCAGCCTCAAGTCTGCTTTCTCTTTCTCTCTGCTCTCAACCTGGCTACATGGTCCTTGGCATGCTATATATATCATAATAAGAAACAGCAGAGCTGGCCCAGCATAGGATTGGAACTTACAACCCTGAGATGAAGAGGTTCATGCTCTACCGACTGAGCCAGCCATGTGCTCCCAACATCCCACAATTTATGGAATATAACTGTAAATAACTGTATTAAAAAGAATAAAGATCTCAAACCAATAACCTACCTAACCTTCCACCTTACAGAACTACAAAAGGAGAAGAAAACTAAATATAGACCGAGGAGAAGGAAGAAAATAAAAATCAGAGCAAATGTAAATGAAATATAGACTAGAAAAACAATAGAAACAAAGAAAACACAAGTCCATTCTTTGGAAATATCAACAAAATTAACCAGCCTTCAGCAGATTAAAAAGAGAGAACACTCAAATTACTAAAATACGAATGAAAATAGAGATATCAGGGTACCTGGGTGGCTCAGTCAGTTAAGCATCTGCCTTGGGCTCAAGTCATGATCTCGAGATTCTTGAGTTCGAGCCCTGCATTAGGCTGTCTGATATCAGCATGGAACCCACTTCAGATTCTCTGTCCCTCTCTCTCTTTGCCCCTC